AAATTAAAGTTGGTGGGAGTGTGCAGACCAGAGAAACGTTCACTGGATTCATTCATTCCATGTGCCATTAAAGTGAGGCTTGCAGTTGTTAACAGAGTCATTTTCAGGAATAGATCTTTAAACTGTTTCATAAATGTTTCTTAGAAGATGTATTGGAATACTTTTTTTTAAATTGACTGGATGCATCGAAATAAATGTTTAAAGTTTCACAACTATCAACTTTAAAGTATATAGACACCCCCACCTTCCTAAAAATCACTTTTTTTTTTATCACATGCACACACCTTTCAATTTGTCTGGATGTTGGAAACTTTTCATTTAATTTAATTTCAGTATTTGCAAACATGCCTGTCACCCACCACTCGGTACAAACACTTCCATCAAAGTTATTTCAAACTATAGTATATTGTTATTTCCTTCAAATAATTAAGGTTGTTTCTAAGTACCTCGTATATTTTGTAAAGATGGATATCACTTTCTAAACACTAAATTTATTAATTCCCCCACCCCTCCTCCCATTAAACATTTTGTGTATTTTTGATGACATGCACTTCTTATGATTTTTCTGCAGAAAACATGTAGTATAGTGGATGTGGAGAAGAGAACAATATTAGCTGCTCCTTATCAGGTGAGACTCTTAAGGGCATCTCAAACAACTATTTCTCTCTTTGTGTCGCATCATTTTCACCCAATTTACCTGAATACTTTCTAACTTTAGTGTCCAACCATTTCCAACTCATTTACCTCAGCACTGTCTCACTTTCATGTTATACCATTTTCATCTAATTTACTTTAATACCTTTTGTCATTGTTGTGTCATAATATTTTTTGGAAGTTTAGCTTAATCATTCATTCAGTATTTTCATATATCTGAAACTGTATGTCACTCAAATATTAAGTTTTCCCACCTATATCTTCTTAGGGAAATTTCATCACAATGCTAATGAGCAAGAGAAAAGTATTCAAGTCTGATGTACAGCTTCTATCTTATATTGAATGGTGGGTATAAAATTGTTGCATGATTCTGCAAAGTTAAGACAATAGTTAATAAAATAGAAGCATGAAGAAAATTTCTGTAGTACTTTCCCTCAAAGGACTTTTAAAATTGTGTATTCTTGTGATGAATTCTTGTTAAAATGTATTCCTCCATAGAAACTGCACACTTTGAAATTGACCCTAGCATCTCCTTAGCAGGCAGTAAACCTGAACTCATGAGATGAAAACCTTTATCAAAATTTTCATGTTAACCTTTGGTTATAAAACTTATTCACCAAATGACTATTGAATGTGTATTTTAACTATTAATTTCTTGGTTTTAACAGGTGGTTGATGGACATAATGTCCAAAGCCTTTATGTTCTTTCATATCTTTTGCTTGAACTCAGATGGAAGTATTTTATAGTAAGTCGAAGCTTAAAATGTGTGTTTTGTGACTGAATGATGAAATGCATGTCTTTTATCCAGGAAAGACCCCAAATCCTGAGTTCTTGAATATTTACCCACATCACTTCTTTGTTCGGCTGTGGTCAAAGTGCAATGGATGTTGGTCCTAAACATTAATTTATCATAATTGAGAAGTGAACAAGCTGATCTCATTGTAATTTGTTTTGATATTTTCAGACATGTTTAATCAAACTCTTAAAATCGTACAATATCATCACAAAATCGTTCAATATATATTACCTTAATAGTGAAAAAATAAACATACAGTATATATAATGTATACACCTCAAAATCGTACATTGTTTGCCAAAATCATAAGAGTAAATAGGTCTGTATTTATCCCCCATGATATTAAATAGAGGTTTCTTAATTAGATATTTATAACAAGCAAATGATTCATGTTTTGGTACAGTTCTCATGTTTTATTTTGCATTACTCACACTGTTTGCTCTCATTATTTGAACCTCTGAAACTACAGTTCTCACAGTCCAAAGGACCAGCGAGACAACTATTTTAGAACTGTATCGGGTATCATGGCAAAACTTGGAATCAAGGACTGCGACTGTGAAATTATAGAAGTAAGTTGATCTGATTATAGATATTTTTATAATCTCTAGAGGCATATAATTTTCATGGTTGTCTACTTTTGGGGTACAGTATTTATTAAAAAGTCATTCTGCTAGTCACAAAACTGGTCTAATATTGCCAGGCCTCATTATTATTGATTGAGAGGGTAACCTTTGTTTCCATTTGGTCTTATGATCATACATATGAACTAATCTGCAAGAATTACATTAAAATATCAGTTATTCGATTGTAATAAATTATAAATGTCAAAATTGTTTATTTCTTTTGTTTGTAGCTTGTTTATGTTTAATAAATTGTGTTGCCTTTCAATTTATCACTATTTATATAGTTTTGTATAAATAAAACTATAAATATGCCAACTTAAGAAGATCATAAAGCCTGCTGTAATCAGAGATATGAAGGCACCCTCTATTGCAGAGAAATTTTGTTTCATTTGTGTCATCATCCTGCCAAGGTGAACAGATCCTTTTTTTTTTTTTGTGAAAGCAAATGTCAACCATTAAAATTTATCCTCTGTGGCATTTTGATAAATATATTAAAGTTGCTGTAATTCACTCACATCATTTAAAAATAGCAGCCATTGTTCCACCTGATTTTTTTTTTTAAATTTGGTCATGTATTAGTCTAAACAACCATTTCAGCATTTGACGGAGATGGTCAAGATGGCAAGGATGGAATCCCATATCTGGCAAGGTGTAGATTCAGGTAGCAACTCACATTTATAGAAACACATGTTTTTATAATTTTAAAAAATAACACTGAAGTATGAATTTTTTCTGCATTTTTTAATGTATTTTTAGAGTGATGATTGTTTAATATTAAAACTTCCATTTATTGGATGAAAATTACATATTTAAGTGGCGTTTTATTTAAGCTGATCTATGTTGCTTGGATAATGTAAAATAGGGATTATTTTCCATATGATTGAATGTACCCTGGGAAGAACCTCTTAAAAATGTTTGATTAAATTTATAAATTAATTAGACCTTGCCTTTACGATATAAATCAAGACAGATGAGATCTAATTGTGGGGAGGATATTTGCCAGCTTCTTCAAAGTTTAACTTCTCTGTTTGAAAGATATTGTCTCAATGGGCTGAAGCACTTTTAAAAAAGACTCTTATTTTAGTATTTTACCTTATAAATATGGTTGCATTTTATCGTGAGAAGTAAATTTGAACTATTTATCTTTTACCAACAGGCAGTATTGTTTATCCACTACGTCTACATCAGAAGGCATGCCAACTATTTCGCTGTTAAAAATCAGTCAGAAATGTGTTCTTTAAACATCAGTCTGTGTTCTTTGAAGACGTTATTGGTAAAAGTTAATATTATTTTAAAAATGCCCTTTAATATTTATTTTACATGTGATCAATTTGCAATGTCTTCATGAATCATCAATGTGATTACAGTACAGTATTGTGATATAAAGATGTCTTTTTATATGAACCATTACAAATTTTTATAAAAAATTTACTTAGCTTTTTCAAAAAATAAATAAATACATTATGTTTACAATCCGTAAGTCCGTGCCATAAGGATGATGTACTCTAATATATTGAAATATTTATTTAAAATTTTTTACAAGTGTAAATATTATTTACATTGTAGAATGTAACTGAATTTTTTCACCTGACCCTCAATACCTATCTGTTAACAGAAGTTACTTGAATGTTTTTTCCTTTCAAACGCAGTTGCTCCTATTGAAGTTATTGTTTAAAGACCTGTTGATAATTTAAAAACTTTTTTTTACTTGTGTATTTTATTATTTATACATAACTGTTTTCCAAATTCTCAGCACAAAGTTTATTAAAAGTACACGAGGCAAACAATTGAAATTTCATGACTGGTATTGTAAAGACAGAAAATTTGTTGACGCAATAAACTGTTTTGGTTAAATTAATTTAATATGTAAGGACAAAAAATATATATTTGTCTCATACACTTTACACTTCGACACAACAGAAATCTCTGCTCAATATTCTCATCTCCTTTGCTTAAAAAATGTTTATTTTTAGCTTCTTTGGAACAAATAATAAATGCAGCTGTAAAACAAAGGACATACTTAATATTCATGTACATTTGTATTGGCCAGCCTTGTATTTCTATCTAGTTTTGCTATATGCCTTTCCATCGGCTCAGAATATATGTATTATGTAAATGATTTATAACATTACTTAGTGACAAGTGAATTTTTTACCACATTGGTGACCAACAATGAGAGCTTGCAGACAGTGTCATTCTGGAACACTGATTTAGACTATGGGCTATGTTAACAATAACCAATAGAAAGCTTACATTATTAAGGCCAATATTATTTCTTTATGGTTACTTTGTTTTGGAATGTAATGGGTGTGAGTTCATTGTGACTTTGAATATATTATTTTTAAGAGTGTGGGTTGAGAATATAAGTTTAAGTTTTGTACCGGTATTAAATAAATATATATTTATTAACAGGGGTTCCAATTTGTAATATTTAGATATTTAATTTAAATCCAGTCTCCATTCAAACCTAATAATTTAATAAAATAGTTTTATCATGTTGCAAATGTCAAAATTAAATTATATCAACACGCAAGTTTTTTTTTTTTCAATTAAAATCCAAATTTTAATTTTTGCCCAAATCAAAACATTTGTTCACGCACACATGTGTTGTATCTGGGTATGGATGACTTTTCTCTTTATACTCTGGCAAAAGATATGCCACTTTTTAATGCAAAATGATAAATGAAAACCTTTTGCCTGAACCATTACAAATGTTATGTTTTCTAAAGTAATTTAATTTATTATTATCTTTATTATTTTTTCTTAATTATAATTTTTCAATCTGCAGCTGCTTGTCACATACTGTTTGATTTTACAAGTTTATTTGCCTTAACATTTTAAAAAATTTGAAAGAACTTAAGATGCTTATTTACATGCTGAGGATAGAATTATAAATGTACAAATTATGCCTTTAAATAATTGATGTCATTAAATGGTTTTAACTTCTGGAAATTGTGATTTATTTTATTTATTATTAACAATTGTCACACTGTGGTTCATTTGAAGTTTCTCTCTTTGATTTGGCACCATTTCTACCTTGCCTAATTACACTCAGTACAGACACACATCAACAATATGCAATGAAAAGAACAATATGCAATGAAAAGCAAGGCTTTGTAGGTCACAATCAAATCAAGAACAGCATTATCAGGTTAAATTTTTCACTGCTCTAGTATTGTTTGTTGTTTCCTTAGCAATTTAAAAATTGTGCATATTGCAAATCTCTACCCCCTGCACTATGCTGCAATCACTGAGATGATGATGAAGTCCCTAGTGTTTATGACATTAGAAGTTCCACCACCAACACAATTTATTCTTGAATAGATCTTATTCAAAGCATCTTTGCACTTTTCACAACATATAAATTAAAGAAAATGACCAAAGATTATCCATGTCTCCTCCTACCCACTACAAAGTAATAACTCCTTATGTTTACCTTGAATAACTCTAATATTCTGTGACGATATTCTTCTTGGCACTAGCCAGTTCATGCATTGGAGTAGCTGCTGCAGATTAGGACACAACACAAGCACTAGTCCAAACATTTCAACAAGATGAAAGACGAACAGAATACTTAAAAATTAAAAGTATAGTGAGACAAAGATCTTTAAATACTTCTCCAGCATGTGGTAATTAAATGTCTGGCAAATAAACTACTGAGTTTGGTGGTGATGTGTGTTGTGAAAATAATTTAACTCCTTACCTGTTCAAACTAGTATTCAGATCTACAATTACCTCCCGCTATGAAACTCTGAGTAAGATCCATGGATCTGATTAATTATAGTTTGTTGTACATAAACTTATTCAAATAAAGCAAAGTAACCAGCATTCAACTTTTTAAATTTTTTTTAATTGTTTTTTCAAGCTTTATTAAATTACACTTTCTATGTCATAGTATTTACAAAGCTTTTTGAGTGGCGTACGAAGAATTATAAAATTTAATGTGTTTCCAAGTGCAGTAGATCATGTTTAATTCTTTTAACAATTTATTTTTTTAATTCAATAAACCAAAATGGTAAATAACAAATCAGAACCCCAAAAAACATGTCACCAGTGAAAAAGTAACCCCAAGTAACCCATAATAGAGCAAATGGATTTGACTGCGCTCATTTTGATGAATGGATTACTCCACAACCAAAACAAAAATTTAAATACATGCTAAACATAATAGACGGCACATACAAAAAAATGTCAAATAGCCAGAAAATAAGTTAGTTTGTAGAAACTTTCAAAATGACATGAGCAATGTTCAATCCATTGCATGTATAATCCTAAACTCATGCTACGTTAACACTGTCTACTTTTTAATCCTTTGAATTTTGTTTATAAAAACTTTGTCACTTCCAGGTCATACAGCAGAACTCATTTATAATATTTTAACCAGACTTGGTCTGAACTAAACTGAGATTCTTTATTTATAGCAGCCCACCCATATCATAAGCATAAGCATGTTAACACTGTACTGACTATGCTCATTAAAAGAAAACTGTGACTGGCACCAAGTTTCAAAAGTATGTTCAGACAAAATGTCATATGTCAATTATGACAACTTCTTTCAGAAAATTAAGGATTTCATTATGAGCAAGTTCTACTGTATTATAAATGCAAGAGAGCAGAATTTTTAAGAAGAATCCTGTTCTTTCTTAATAAATAAGTAAACAAATGTTGCTACTTTAAAATGCAATGACTGCATCAATATTCAAGGACAAAGAAAAAAAACTCTTAGGACAAATTCTTTTTTTTAAAGATATATAAATTTTTAAAATTTTACAACACTTAGCTTCAATAAATACTAATTCTGATTTTGGTTGATGGAGGAATGAAAAAAATAAGTTTATGTAAAAGATGAGGCAGTTACAATCCATGGTAAGGTGAGCTATTTTGAAAACTTATCTAAAAAGTTTTAACTCTAGACATTCAGTTAATCTTTAAACTTAGCAATTAATGAGTAAACTAAACTTCCGGAAAGCCATATTCTAGTTAACCCAAAGTTCAAGATGTCCTGACAAGGTAAAAAAAAAATGCTCACTTACTAGAGAGACCAAAATTCTGGAACTAAACATCTCCTTTATTTAATGCTATGGCATATCAGATATCAGGAAAGACTTTTTAAATGTGATGTCTAAATAATTAAAAAATATATCAGATGATAAAAATGTTTCCTAAAAAGCTTAAAAACCAAAATTGTAGCATAGAGAGATTGGTCTAGTTATATAATTGGCAGAGGGTATTACAATTTTAAAAATATGGACTCAGTTGTCAAAATCCATAACTTTAAGTGATTTGGTGCAATATATTAATTAAATTAAAAATCTTAAAAACACATTTTTTTTTTTCTGTTTGTAAATCTGGAATATCAGTTTACTTTATCTGAAACAGTCTTTTAAAAATATTCTTGTCAGGACATCTTTTAAATATCTCTTTTGACTAAATAACTTAATTGCAAGAAAATATAGCGAACAGTTGTTAAAAAATTGTTCCAATTAAAGAAACAATATAATAGTAAGAAACAGTTGATCAGGAGAATACACATTAAATGTCTGTACTGCTGATTTCTTGTCAGAAAGTGTGCTCCTTAGTGTTGAAGTAATGACAAAAGAATACAGTGACTATCTAGAAGTGATCCTTCAAAGATGCTAGATCTGGAGAAAAAAAAGCAATTGTTTTGGGGGTTTTTTTTTAAGTTTGAGATTACACAAATTATTATTGCTAAGAAAGTGTTTTAATTTAATCAATGCAAAATTATTTTAGCTAAATAAATTGGTTTATTATTTCAAATACAATATACAGACGAAGGTGCGTGAAGTACTGACCATATATTTAATATTATATATATTTTGAGGCTTTATAAACCCTCCCCACACTCTACTGTTATTAACCTTTCCAGCACTCTTAAAAATACTTATTATGCTCTAAAACAGTGGTCCCCAAACTTTTTAACGCCGCGGACCGGTCAAAGTTTGATAATTTTAGTGCTACCCAGGGGGGGGGGGAGTTGATTGTTTATGTTTTAGATTATTTTGAATTTATAATTTTAAACATTTATTTAAACGTGTAATTAAACACGCCTTCAAAATACAATTACACAAAAAAAATGAATATAAGGTGATTGATCATTTTAATTTACTAGAACGCTAAATCAATGAGAACCCTGAGTTTGTTTTTCTTCAACGAGACTGTTTTATCTGGAGGGTAGTAGGAGACAATGAAACCCGAAGTGTTTTGCTTATGTCCAGTTTATTCCGTTGTTTTGTTTTGGTTACTGTCACTGCAGAAAATCCCGCATCACACAGATAGGATGTCGGAATTGGCAATAGGGATTTAAGTGCTATAGTGGCAATCTCAGGGTATTCCGCCATGACTTCAATTCAGAACATTGACAGAGTTGTTGTCTCGAACGTAGTTTTAAGGTCGCCGTCATTTGCAACCTCCAGCAGTTGATTTTCTTCTTGCACAGACATGCTAGATTCGCCTGGTTTGTTGACAAAAGGGTCATGGATCCATTCTTTACCAGTTCGTAGGTCTTTTGCGGTTGGGAAGTAGCGCTCGAAGTTTTTAACACCAAAGACAGGTGATCGTGCAACCAACTGGGAGAATGAATGCTCAGCCTGAAGCCATCCCGACCAAAGACAGGTGATCGTGCAACCAACTGGGAGAATGAATCCTCAGCCTGAGGCCAGCCAGACGGTTGCTGGTGCCCTGTGCATGCTTAGTTTTGGCGTACCCCTTTAAATATAATTATTAACGGAAAAACTAGTTATTCTGCAATGAGTTTATTACCTATGTTTTTATCAAAACAAACACTGAACATTAAAATTGATTTTTTAACTTGTATTTGAACAGTATGAACAATTAGCCTACTGACTGATGACATTTTTTCTTAGCCTTTAGATCAGGACGTCTTTTTTATTGCAATTTCTTTTTTCTTCCATGAGGCCTAAATGAAATGCTTTTTTCCTACTTTCGAAGATACTTGATGGCGCCCTAAGCACACGCCGTGTAAGTAAAGTTGGAATACAGTTTCTCAACCCTGGATAGCCATCTTATTTCTGTGTACAAGAGAAGGCATCTGTGCTCTGCGTCCATCTCCTCACAAAGCTGCTCAAAGAGGTGTGAGTTAAGGGCGTGTGCTTTGATGTGGTTAATAACTTTAACGACATCAATCAATACGCTGTTATATTCCGGTGACATTTTGCGGCTTGCCAGTATTTCGCTGTGAATGATGCAATGCGTACATTCACTCTCAGGTGCAATCTCCTTAATCCAAGCCGTTACACCAAACAGTCGTCCGGGCATGCAGCAACTCCGTCTGTGCATATGCCGACACAAAAGGACCGTTTTAGCTGTCCTGATATATAACCATCCAGTGACTTGTACAGTTCTGCTCCTGGAGTGTTGGTTGGCAAAGATAGTTCACATAAAAAATCCTAATGCACATCCTCGTGATAAAGATATCGCACATAAACAAGTAGTATTGCCTTGTTGTCGAGATCTGTAGATTCCACAACCTGGAGTGTGTACCACGGTGATGTATTAAACATCTCCAACAATTGTGTCTTAATGTCATCGGCTATTTCCTCAATGCGCACTAGTCACAGTGCTAGGCGACAAAGGCACATATGCTATCTTTTTAAAAGCACCCTCTCCTAGAAGTTCACGTCAAATGTCTTTAGTGGAGGTCAAGATCAATTCTTCACCAATAGTGAATGGCTTTTTAGCATTACCAATATGGTTAGCCATCAAATATGATGCTCTCAGTGCAACAGGCCAACAATCCCAAGAGAAATACACAACAGTAAATAAAATGGAAATAAATTAATGTTTCTTTGGCGGCCCGGTACCATTTGATCCACGGACCGGTTCCGGTCCGCGGCCCGGGGTTTGGGGACCACTGCTCTAAAACACTTCATACTCTTAAACGTACTTAATTTTAATAACAAATAAAAAATTCTACAAAGGTTGGGACCACTGCAATTTGATTTCTTATTATAAGACCTAATTAATTTTGTACATGAAATAATGTAGTTAATCGCCCCCTGTGGTTGCTTAAAGCATAGTCAAAGGATAAATACCCTGTTTTCATACAAACATTTTAAAATGTTACTAGACAGAGATTCTTTTCAGTTTCTGCAGAAAACTGCACTACCTTTAACCAAGGGTGGAAATCAATAACTTATGATGGAAAAACTTACATCATCAATGTCATCATCTTCATCATCATCATCAAATCCATCAAAGGTGATGTTCTCATCAATCTCATCTTCAAAGGCGTTCTCATTGATTTTGGCTGCAAAAATAGGAGAAATATTGAGTTATCTAATTATGTAAAATAAAAAAATATATATAATTAACATCAAAGTTCAGGAAAGTATATGCTGTTGAATAATTATTTCAGGACACAACACAAAAATATTTAATTCACAGCATAATTTGTTAGCTTAAACAAATGTTAAAATGGTAAAACAATTAAACTGAACACTAATCAGCAAGACAAATGTATATAGTTTTTTTGTCATACCTGAGTCCGGCAATTCACCATATGCTTTCAAGTTACGAGCCTCATCAGCTGTATATTTTAGGATCACATCAGCTTTGGTATCTTGGTAGTCTCTAAGTCCAAGCAAAATAATGTCTCCACCATTGATCCACACCTGATTTCAATAGTGATCTCCAAAACATTAATCAAAATATTTTAAATTTAATTATAATTTATTTATGTTAACTTTTGGATACCATTTCACTAAACAAAAGCCACTAAGACTAAGCCCACTAATTTCATTTAAGTATTTAATTATTAAAACTCTTGAAGAAGTGTCAAAATTTGTATCTTACCTTCTTTCTCAGTTTTCCTCTGATGTGACACAATCGCTTGATTCCATCAAAGCACATTGCCTCCAGTCTTCCATTACCCAACATCTTAGTAACTTGGGCATATTCCTGTCCCTCTTCCTTAAAGATCAACTCTCTCTTCTCATTTTCGTTTTCATTCTTACCCCTTCTTCGGTTTTTACCTCCCTTACCTAGTAAAAGAAAAGGAAGCAGAAATCGGCACTAAGTAAAGTTGAAAAATACTAACTGAAACTGGCTAGTGACAATGATACCAGAGCCAGAGTAGCTGGAGTCTGAGAAGATTAGGGCTATTACTATGATGGCATAAGCATAATGTCAGTCTCTCATGGCATAGGTATTGCTGAAAATATCATATCTCATCATTGATGAGTATGAAGTACTATAAAATAAGGGCTGGACATTTCTGAGTTTATTTATGACATGACCCTGTGACTGCCTTCTGCCCTGCAACAACTGTTACATTTTATTTTTTTTTAAATGCCCTAATTAATTATTTATCATAAATAAAATATGAACTCTGAAATATTCTGGAAAGTTGTAACTGCCCTGTTGATACTCATATAATAATTCGTCAAACTTTTCGTATCGTATGTCACGTTGACAGACTGACGACATTGGTGTGTGGGGCATAGGCGGTAATCCAGTGGTAGTGTAACATTTAATCATTTACATAGTAAACACTGACACTGGACGGAACAGACAACACGATGGACAATCAAATGAGTACCCCTCTTAGTCATATAACATTATAATGAGCCTCGGTTCACATAGATTTATTATATCATATACTGACCTTTATTTTTAGGCATTCTCTGCTAGATTCTGATATTATTTGGGAAACTGTTATACTTTACTGAACATGTGAAACAGCGTAATAGCTGTGTAGCAATGGTTAACACAAAGACCGGATGTCGATCCCATAAGCCACCAAAAGGGATGTAACCTTATTCTCAACGCCATTCCTATCGGCATAAAATTATTTCGGTTTGTGAAAGACAGTGGGGGAGAAAATTTGAATTATCCATAATTATTTTTTAATATACTAAGGCAATAGTTGTGCCCCTGCTTCAAAGCTAATATCATAATGGTATGATAACTAAACTTATTGGGAGCAGAATTTTCCCACTGGGGACTGTAGTACATGTATTACGCGAACCAAAAGGGTTCTGCGGTCGGTTATCATTTTGAAATATGGGCTATATACTATATGGGGTGGGCGACAACAATTTTTATATAACTATTATTTTAATATATTTTTTCATTAATTCTTTTTATGTTAACCAACAAGTTAATAAGTTTGTACACTTAAATTTTATAATGTAGAATCAATTGAAAGGTTGTTAAATACTGATTATCATTGTTTGTGGTATAAATATGATTATTGTCAGTAAAGCTGACAATGGGAGTCGCTTAGTCAATTATTTTGTCACGTGATGTGAGTAAAAACGAGTAAGATTTCCGGTATACTGTATACAACACACTAGTGCTTGACAACAGTAGCCCGCTACACACTACAACTACACTACATTTCGTCCAATGAAAATTAACAATAAAATAAATAAAGGGGAATGACTCCTGTATCAATATTGAATAAAAACGCAAATGACGTCATGAGCACGCACGGCGCTCATCAACATCCTGCCGATAATAGTATTGATGAAGTTCCCATCGAATATCGCTCACAAATTTTTCTTGAAATAACTTTCTTCCTTTAATTATAAATATACGTCAGTTATAATTAAAGGTATTTATTGTCACATTTATGTATTTCATTTAAAAAAACGCTTGCATTCCATAATATTACGAAAGGTAAAATTTTTAATTAACATGACATTGGGGAAGCACCGATGAAGTATCTTTTGTTGTGTGTAGCAGCCTAGTGATGGCTTACTCACATCACGTGACCAAACAAGGAAGTGACTAAGCGACTCCCATTATGGTTTCGTTTCTAGCTGCTATCAACTTCACAAGGAGTAGCTAGGTTTGCTCTATCTTAACAATGGGCATCCGGGACATCATTTGGGTATGGCAGGGGGGAATTTGGCCCCAACCCTTAATTTGCAGGTTTTATTTAAATTGCTGTGTAGACCTACTGTGGCGCCTCCAGTAATAAACAACTTAACAAGCCGACCAAGTTTTGGTCCCCCCCCCCCTGAAAAAAGACATGAAATGACGCCCCTGATGGGCATAGTCTATAGCAGCTTATGGATCAGTTTAATCTTGCGGCACTGATATACCAAACAAGTCAACATCATCCTCATCTAACCATTCAGCATTTAAAATAGAAGCATTGTCCGTGTGAGAAATAATTGCCATAAGCTCTATCTATCTCCTTGCAGCTACTCGCATTGGTCGAATCCTTTTTTGTTGAAGAGCAGATGCTAATTTTTTATGCTCAAGAGGGTATTGTTGGTTGTGTTGAACATAATTTTACAACATGATTTGTGATGCAAAATAGATGTTACAGATTTTGCAAATTTGTTCAAGCAGCAATGTTATTATTGCTACTCACTTTACATTTACCAAATGCTCAAAATATCGTATTCCTACTCTATCAATAGCATTTATCTTGACGTATTATTTTGTTTTAGTATATAGTATAATGTGTTGAAAAATAATTTTGACGAAAATTTGATCGTGTGAACTGGACAAAAAAAATTCGACCAAACTTTCGTTCGATCAAATTTCCGTCGATCAATTTTCTGTCAACGAAATTTCTTTCAAACAAAATTCCGGTAACCTAGATCAGTGGATGAAGAGCCATTGCACATGTCTCATTATAAAAGGGGGGTGTTGTTACACACCTTTGGACCTCTCTGTCCCTCTCCCCAGTATCCCACAGGCCGTAAACCAGCCCTGCAGAAACACCAGAAAAATTGTTGAAACTTGCCGCTTTTTCCTAACAGCCGTATTTCTGAAAAACGTTTTTATGTTAATTAATTGGTTCCAAGAAAAGCATTCTCATAGCTCAGACATTTCATTATACCACCGGCTTAGGGAGTTCATGGCATAAAGTAAGGCATCATGGAGCAGACTAATTGATTCGGTCCATGATCAAAGTGTGCAATATATCAATGTGTGTGATCAAAATCGATCGATGAACCATATACCGGTACTTATAATAATTCGCAAAGATTGTTCACTTTGCCTTAAATTGCATACATTTCTATATCAGTTTTAAATTTCAAAATCAAAAAATGGATAATAATTTCTGAAAACGTTAACTTACTATTTAAAAATCAATTTTATATACCAATTGCATACCCTTGATTCGCAACGGTGTTTAAGGGGATGAAACGTATATAAAACGATATGAACCGTTAGAGTATCTAAAATATAAAGGATTTTGTTTTTAGAAATCTAATTTGCAGCAAATGAGTACAAAAAATAGTGGTCTTTAATAAACATTGATAGTGATCAGCTGTAGGACAAACAACGATCATAATATTTGGTCCAAACCTCTGTACCCACCACCACACCTAGAAGTTAGATGTATGTCACCAAGCAACCAACTTGCAGAGATTTCCCGGGGTTTATGCCTCGCCATCATCTTCCTGTACATTCCCATATTCTATTTGGAGATGGGTGTTTCAGAACTCCTGTGACTTTAGATTTCTTTTGAGATGAACCCTCGTGATGACTTGCAAAGATCGAACTTGGACCTCAGGCCAATGGGGTCATAGGTGGGATGACTTGCCTTTAGATTGCTTTTGAGATGAACCCTCGCGATGACTTGCAATGATCGGACTTGGACTTCAGGCCAATGAGACCATAGGTTGGATGACTTTTAAGACAGGCTTTGACCTCATCGGCACGCGTTCCCGAGGAAAGACGAGTAGTGTCTGCCTGACTCTGGTGGCAACCTGCTCCGGTGACAACCTACTCTGGTGCAACCTGCTCTAGTGACAACCTACTCTGGTGACAACATGCTCTTGTGGCATCGAGTCCTGGCTGCAACCTGCTCTTGTATTTAACTGGGATCGGCTATGACACCATCTTGAGCGCACTGTTAAATTTACGGTTTCCCATTTTGTTTGTCAACCGACCTTTGACCCTAGCCCCAAATATTTGCCTGTGGGGACGCTGGTAAATCATGGCTCTCTCTGGACGTCATGACCATTTCCAACGCCCCCAATCTTGGGGCGTGATCTCTGTTGACACCCTGTTCCCGTGGCACCCTCATCTGTTATTTAACTTAGATCTGTTATGAAACCGACTCTTTCAAATTTGAAATTGTTTATTTGGGTCACACACGCCCGCCCCCCCCCCCACACCGGGAGTGTCGCGACCCCACCCCTAGTCACAATACTGGTACCCCTCACCCTAACCCGTCGTGGGGTCACTTTATCCCAAGTCAAATCCTCACTGAGATTTAAGACGTCAGCCCCTTGTGTCACTGCGCTGATACTGTGGATTATGTTGGTTTTTTTTTTTTTGTGGGGTTTTTTTTTTTTCTTTCTAAAAGTGAACAGAGCCGAATAGATCTTGTCTATTGGAGTTAGGATTAAGAAAGGAATGATTTAAGACGTCAGCCCCTTGTGTCACTGCGCTGATACTGTGGATTATGTTGGTTTTTTTTTTTTGTGGGGTTTTTTTTTTTTCTTTCTAAAAGTGAACAGAGCCGAATAGATCTTGTCTATTGGAGATAGGATTAAGAAAGGAAGTAGTTTCAGGAAATGTTTGGTTTCTCGAGTGTTGCCAGAAAGACCTGACAAATGACTTCACTTTTGGACCCGTTTTATGTGGGATTATTTTCATGAAATGTTTCAGTATTTGAGAAAGGTTTCAGACTGCGACTGCAATGAAATGTGATCTTTTTAAAATGGTTTTAATAAAGTTGTACATTATTTTTTTAAAGGAACAATGATCTTGAAATTGATGTAGAATAGATGGAAAATTCATATATTACATAAACAATTCTTTGTTTTTATTTATATTAACATTTATATATGCCCAAATCTTACTTTAGGTAACAAGTTGTTTATTTTTAAACATCCGGTTGTTGTTCTTTCTAATCAATGAAATCAATTAAATTACGCCTAAACTTTACAAATGAATCAAAGTTAATTTTATAGAATGAGCATGCAAATTGAACTAGGAAACGACCTCCCAGAATTTTATCTAAAGAGAGAGCAGCCACAGGGATTACCCAGAGGATCCAAAGTTCGTAAGAAAAGGGATGTTGCAAGAAGAAGCGATTTTTCTGTGATCTGCGACGATGTGAATCTCAGTGTCGACAAATTTATCAACATCTCTTTAACATATCCCAACAAAGAAATAACGTGTCCCAAGAACGGTGAGTCTCAAACCGTTGAGCTTCGAGTCTTGAGACAGTCTGAGACCATCGAGTCAGGTCTCTTTGGCGTGAACAGGTTTTCTGGCGTCTTGGTGCCGCGGGCGGACCATGGACGGAGGAAGAGCCATCCCAGGTCAACGAAGGCCCGCCGTGATGGACAGCGTCTGCTGGGTCAGATGGCAACGGTTTACTGGAACGCCCCGGGCACGAGAGTCAGGAGCAAATCTTTTCATGACGGTGTGACATCTAGTGGGAGATTACACACAGGTGCTCTGGGGTCAAGATTGACGTTCTGGGACTCGGTAAGACCATTGGTTAATGTTCATTTTATTTTATATCTATTCTTATGTTCGTCTTCTATTTATGTTCAATGAAAATGGAATTTGATGGCCAATCGATCAAATTATCAGCTAATAAACAGCAAAGAATTCTATATTCTTCCAAATTTAAAATAAACATCCAATTATTTCAAACTATGAATCGTTTACACGGTTAACACGTGATTATAGATTGATATAGCCAGTGTGTAAGTAAAAGAGAAGGGCAATGGCCGCTCTATTTCCAGCCAATTCTGTATGTGCATTGCTTTGAAAGACGGACTTTGATGTATTGTTTTTTTTTAAAGAACTCTTTAACTTACTCAAATTGACGTTAAGTATTTCAAATCTTTGTAAGGTTTCTGAATGAACAATGTTATTTTAAAGACGATCAAAGGTCGAGAACCTCTGTTGTTAATTTATTAATTTAAGGCATGGGCAGGCAAACCATCGCTCGCGAGTGAATTGTGGCTCGCGCCTCCAGTTTGAAATAAAAATAAAAAAAGAAAATTAAAAAAAAGAAAAGAAAAATTGAAAGAAAAAAAGTTTATTTTATTTGTTTAGAGCAGATATCACTACTATATGGGTGTTTCGCTTTTCTGGTGAAGTCCCAATCTTCTGGGGATAGACATGTTCTTGTTGTGTGTGGAGTTAGCTTTTCAGAATGTTCAGTGGGGTTGAAAATTTTGTGATAATC